AAAACGAGGGAGAAACCCGCGGACCCGACTCCACCGCGTCTACACACCACCCTCGTGCCGGTACTCATCTGCGGATCCGCTACGTTCTACCCTCTACCCGCCACACGTCTGCCCATTCGCGAGAGAAGCGTTCGTTCGTGCAAGCGGGCATTTTATCCGTGCGTCGTATCCATCGAAACGAACCGGCCTGGCGGCTTACCCGACGCTGATCGGTTGCATGGCGTGGTCTTGCTGCAGGTACAGCGACTGCTGGTACCCTCCGGGATCCAGGTTCAATCCGTCCGGAGATTGCTGTATGCGCGAGCCGGTGGACTGCATCATCTGTGAAATCGGTTTCGAAGGAATTTCGACGAATCGACGCTCGCCCGACGTTTTCGACGCGCTCGTCGCCGCGATCGGACTCACCCGAGCCTGATAACTGTGCATCGGATCGTGCTGAGCTTGCGGCTGCTGCGATTGTTGTTGCTGCTGCTGTTGTTGCTGTTGCTGCTGCTGCTGTTGTTGTTGCTGCTGCTGTTGCTGCTGCTGCTGTTGATGCTGTTGTCGCTGTTGTTGTTGATGCGAGTGAGAGTGAGAGTGTATCGAAGGAATATCGAAATCCTCGTCACCGAAGCTTGGCGTATGAAACGTCTACGAAGATAGGGAAATTTCACGAACGGTCCAATGGCGTTTGGGAAAGAGGAATCCGACGGACGTTCTCGAGAAGACCGACGATACGCGGACACGTGGCAACAGATCGTTCGAAGAGAACGGAAATCGAGGAATTTGAAAAGTATGCTCAGCGTAACGCTCGACTGCCGGACTTGGGTCGTTCGCGTCTCCGTTGCCGTTTCCGGTTCCCCTTCAGTCTCTCCCTCTCTCTCTAATTCGGACGCATACGTGTACTCGTTCACTCAATTCTACGTGCATATAAATATTTGCCCTCCAGAGGCGCCTCTCAATCGCCAAATGATTTGACACAGCTAAACTGTGAAGTTTGATGTTTAACATTAAACTTGGTATAATTCATTAATGTATGAAATATTGAACGAAAATAGAGATTTCTTGGCAATTCAATCTCAAGTATTGAGAAAACGTCATTTGCGACTCGTTAGGAAGTACTGAGTATTTCCAGTGAAGTACTTCTGGAGTGCAAAGGGTTAAATATACATACATACATCCGTACAACCATTCATACATACATACATACATATGTATATACATTCCTACATACATATGCATATACATACACATATATGTATAAACATACCTACATACATACGTATATACATACATGCATATATAATTCACACAACATACATACATATATAATTCACACAACATACATACACATACAATTCACACAACATACATACATATACAATTCACACAACATACACACATACATATATAATTCACACAACA